CTGTCCCTCACTGTCCCTCACTGTCCCTCACGGTCCCTCACGGTCACTCACGGACTCTCACTGTCCCTCACTGTCCCCTCACTGTCCCTCATAGTCCCTCACGGTCCCTCACTGTCCCTCACTGTCCCTCACTGTCCCTCACTGTCCCCTCACTGTCCCTCACAGTCCCTCACTGTCCCTCACGGTCCCTCACGGTCCCTCACTGTCCCTCACTTTCCCCTCACGGTCCCTCACTGTCCCTCACTTTCCCCTCACTGTCCCTCATGGTCTCTACTGTCCCTCGCTGTCCCCTCAATATCCTTCACTGTCCCTCACTGTCCCTCACTGTCCTTCACTGTCCCTCACAGTCCCTCACTGTCCCTCATGGTCTCTCACTGTCCCTCACTGTCCCCTCACTGTCCCTCACTGTCCCTCACGGTCCCTCACTGTCCCTCACTGTCCCTCACGGTCCCTCACTTTCTCACACTGTCCCCATTATGGCATCCTGTGCCCCTGGAACCCCCGCTGTCCATCGGCCCGGGGAATGGGTGACAGGCCCTGGGGGGCGGCCCGAGTGGTTTCCCGCCAGCGCTCACCCCCGCTGCCCCTCAGGTGAAGTGGATCTTCTCGTCGGTGGTGGAGCTGAAGCAGACGATTGTCCCTGACTACAGGAACATGGGCGGGCAGGGTGCCTAGCGCTCGCTACGGGCTGCGTCCTGGGCCGCCCCTGACCTGTAGGACCACGTCCATCCCCTTGTGCCGCTCAGCCTGCGCCAGGCCTCTCCGCCGCCCGCTGACCTCGCCAGCCTCTGAGCTCACGAGCACCCTCGCCTGCATCCCCGGCCTCTGGCCTCGTGGCCACCACAACCTGCCCCCCAACCCACTCACAGACCCGAGTGGACCGCAGGTGATGCCCAACCTGAGCTGATGTCCCCGCAGGACACCTCCGGGGCCCCAGGGACCACCAGGAACGCTCGGGTCAGCGTGGGGTTCCCCCTCGAACAGGAGGAGGAGGCCGGCGTCCGGGCCTCTGCACAGGGCCTGCCCCCTGCATCTTGTCCCGGCCGGGCTCCAGACCCAGGGTCCCCGGGAGGAGGGCCTGTGCCAGATGCTGGAGGGGAACCGCCCGCCTCTCCCAGCAGGAGAGCTCTTGCAGGTGCCACTAATGGTCCCTCTGGTCACCTCCACCAAAGGTGCTGCTCAGAGCAGGGTCTGGGCCCGAGGCTGCTGCAGGAGCCCCAGCACGGGAGGCGGTGAGGTCCAGCCAGACCGGCCTCCCGGAGAGCACGCTGTTGACCTGGTGCCCCGCGGGCTGAGCTGGAGGGGCTCCCGGGAAAGAGGGCAGAAGGCGCGGCCAGCCCATCCTGCAGCCAAAGGCCTGAGGCACGTACAGCAGGAGCTCCGCCTGCACCGGGATGGGGGTGAGAGGCGCGACCCGCGTAGGGCCAGCCTCCGACCCCGGGCCCCGCCTCAGGGCCCGGTACCAACTCTCCGGGTCTCTGCGGAAAAGCGCAGTCAGCGTGCGCCGGTGCTGGAGCTGCTCCCGGACTGGAAAGAAGGGCCACATGATCGCAGCTCGGGAGGCTTTTCTCCTTTCTGAATGTGGGGCCCACTGATGCTCTTCGCTGTGTCTTCATTTTGTTGATGACAATAAAACGTTCTTTACAATCGCCTAGCTCGCTGAGAAGTCTCCCTAGGTTAACACGCCGCCTACCCTCGTGAAATCCACAGCCAGACTCCCCCACGCCACCACCCAAGCCTGGGGTTCCTGCCTGGCCTGTGGGCGCAGGGGCGAGCCAGGGGCCTGGGGGAGCCACGGGGAAGTCGCACGTGTTGGGTGTGTCCGCACAGGAGGCTGTAACAGACACCACAGGGGGCCTTTGACAACAGACATCACTGTCTGACACCCTGGAGGCTGGAATCCCAGATCCTGGAGGTGCAGGGCTGGCTTCTCCCGAGGCCTGTCTCCGTGCCGTGTAGACGCCGTCTTCTCCGTGTCCTCATGTGGTCGTCCCTCTGTGCGTGTCTCTGTCCTATTGTCCTCCTCTTTTAAGGACACCAGTCAGACTGGATTAGGGCCCACCCTAGAGAGCCCACTTTACGTCATCACATCTTTACAGACCCCATCTCCAAATACTGAGGTCCTGGGGGTCCGGGCTTCAAAGCTGGAATTTGGGGACACAATTCAGCCCAAAACAGCCGAGCTGGGTGCAAGAAAGGAGGGCCAAGAGGGACGCCAGGACGCCAGGCCAGGAGGGGCAGCGGTTGGGAGGGGCTGCCAAAGGGGAGCAGAGGGCTTCCCTGGTGGCGCAGTGGTTGAGAGTCCGCCTGCCGATGCATGGGACACGGGTTCGTGCCCCGCTCCGGGAAGATCCCACATCCCGCGGAGCGGCTGGGCCCGTGAGCCATGGCCGCTGAACTGCGCATCCGGAGCCTGTTGCTCCGTGGCGGGAGAGGCCACGGCAGTGAGAGGCCCGCGTACCGCAAAAAGAAAAAAAAACAAAAAAAAAAAGCAAGAGAACAAAGGGGAGCAGAGCCAGACCTGGCTCACCACTCAGGACAGACAGCAGTGAGAAGGACCTCAGGAGGGGAGGGGGTCGGGTGGCACTGAGCTCAGCTGGCTGCACAGAGGTGACCAGTGTGTCACAGGAGAAGCAGGAGTGGGGCTCCAGGGGCTATGGTGAGGGACCAGGAAGGGTGGCCGTGCAGATGCGATGAGGCCGCTGTGCCCGCCGGCCGGCAAGGATGCAGGGATGGGTCAGGACTCTGCCCTCACAGAGACCAGGGACCCATCCCTCCTGGTGATTCCACCTCAGAGGAGACACAACCCTCCCCAGAGGGCAGAGTCAGGATCCACAGCTGTCGGCCCTTCTCAGTAAAAGCTCCAAAAAAGTGGGCCGGGGTCTGGGTCGGGTGCTGGCCGTGCTGGGCTCCCTCAGGCCGGCATTTCAGGGGGGCTGGCTCATCGCGGGGACGCGGCCTTGGGCTGCTGGAAGCCACGCTTGTGTTTGTTGCAGCCTTTCAGGGCGAGGGGACTGGCCGGACAGCCCTCCAGACCGGCAGCCGGAGTCTGGTCAGCATGGACGCTGCACCCCAAGGCCGTCCAATGTGCCGGTCCAGCTTCCTGTTGGGGGAGAGAGACAGACAGAGGCAGAGACAGAGAGAATGGTATGCAGGGAAGGGACTGCATCTCTCAGGGGTCCCTGCACCAAACGGGGAGGCCGGGAGGGGCGGCAAACAGGATGGCCGAGGGGTGGACAGCAGTGTCCAGGAGAACATCTGGCCCTCGGGACCCTGCCAGGCACGCTGGGCACGCTGGCACAGGACCCCCTCCGCCTGCTGGGCTCCATGGGGGCTCCAGGTGACGGACCTGGGGGTCACCCCACACCCTGCGTTTCCCTCCCCCTAAACATGTAACCAAGAATCTGAACTTGCCTGAGGGCAGCACAGCCTGCCCAGCCCTGGGCCCTGCCCCTCACTTCCATCCCCCAGACCAACGATCAGCCGCTAGCTGTCCCGCCCCGCAGGAACGCAAGGGTGGTCACACGAGGGCCGGCCGCACGGCCTCCTAGCTGAACCCCGTCCCTGGCACGGCTGCCACCTCGCCACCACACACCTCCCACTGTGTCTTACACGCGCACACACACGCCTGCACCCCTGGGCCACCACCCGGTCCCAGACTCCTCCCTCACCAAGGGAGACATTGTCAGTCTGAACTCTGAATCCCGTTGTGGCATCTGTGGTGTGATGTCCATGGTGTGGTGTCTGTGGGGTCCAAGACAGAATGGTCGGTATGAGTTGAGGAGGGGAAGAGAAGGCGATGCAACGGGCTAAATATTTCCCCCAAAATTCATACATTGAAGCCCTAAGCCTCTAATATGATGCCATTAGGAGGTGGGCTCTGGGGAGTTGATGAGGTCATCAGGGTGATCCCTTGTGAGTGGGATTAGTGTCCCTGTAGGGACCCTATAGAGCTTCAGTTCTTCTCTATGTTAGGACACAGCAGGGAGACGCCATCTGTGAACCAGGAAGCTGCCCTCACCAGACACCAAACCTGCCGGCTCCGTGGCCTTGGACTTCAAGCCCCCAGAGCAGTGAGGGCAAGTATCTGCCCTCCCGTGTGTGGTGCCTTGTTGGAGCAGCCGGACGAACTGAAACAGGAAACCCCTGGCCAGGTGTCCCCCACCCCCAGGACCCAGGTGGGCTGGCAGAGCAGCAGCAGGGCTGGTGAGATGCGGGAAGTACCCGCCACCGTGGGGCGTAGGCATGCAAGACCCCTGGCACACATGCTGCTGAAGCCCCCACGTGTGCTCAGCTTGCATGGGGCGGGCCTGGGGACGGGCCAGGCCGGGGCTGTGGGTCATGTGGAGCCCTGCTGGGCTCTGTCCCGGTCCACAGGTTCCTGGCACTGCTGCTGCCACGTCACCAGGCCCGCCCAGAGTCACAGGGACAGTCAGCCTGCAGGGGAAGGCATGGGGAGAGCAGCCTGGCCTCCCCAAAGAGGCTCTTACGGGCACCCCCAGACGTGGCTGAGTCGCAGCACGAGGGAGGGACCAGCCTGGGCACCCGTCTCGCTGTCATCCCTGTGGATCCGTCAGGCTGCTCTCCAGGCTGGGATCACCATTGCAAATTCACAGCCAGGGCCCGCCCGGCCCCGACCCCGCCCGGCACGGATGTGGGCAGGGGCTGGGGCCGGGGCTGGGGGCCGTAGGTGGAGGAGTTGGTCACAGCAACAGCCTGACTTGGGGTTGGGTGACAACCCCCCACTGCCACCCCTAGGGTCTTTTCAAATGCAGGCTGCAGAGGCCCAGGCTGGGGGAGAGGCCAGTGGGGGCTATAGAGCTTGCCCACGGCCAGGTGTAGGGAGAACAAGACCAGGCAAGGGGCCGGCAGCGTCAGTGATACAGACAGACCCAGAAGGGCACAGTGCACAGGACGAGGTGGCATACCAGCTGTCAGGCAGCTGGCTCTGGGCTCCCCAAGTGTGTCTTCACCCTGGGGGTACGTCGATGACTGTCCCCACCACTCACGGCCCACCCTCTGTGCTTCTGTCCACTGTGCAGACCACCACTGCTCCATCCCTCTGCCCTGACATTGGCAAATTCCAGAAAGCACCTGCTCCTTTATCCTGGATCCCAGAACAGAGAAGCCCAGACAAACAGCAGTAAACGCGGCAGCGAGAGAGAAATAGACCCTGACATCGTAGCCTGTTCACCTGGGGGCTGTGGTCACAGTGCACCCTAGTGAAATCTGGCTGATACAGCCACCCTCAAATGCCACTGAGTGAAGCAAACTCAACAACAAGCACAAACGTAATAACCACACGTGATGTGCACACAGCGTCCCGACTTTCACAGGGTGTTCAGAGACTATTAGTCAGGGTTCTCAAGAGAAACAGAACCAATAGAACATAGATGACAGATAGATATAGATAGATAGATGATGGATAGATGATTGATAGATGATAGATAATACATACATACATACATACATATGATATAGCTATGTATGTATATATGTACATCTATAGATAGAGCTAAAATTCAGCTAAAGATAGACATAGATATAGATGACATACATATATCGACATATAGAGACAACAAGATTTCTTTCAAGGAACTGGCTCTCATGTTTGTGTGGGGTTGCCTGGCAGTTCTGAAATCCATGGGGCAGGCCAGCGGGCTGGAAGCTCAGGC